AATTTTCCCCTGATTTTTGTCCCATTTTGGGGGACTGGGTCCTAGCGTTGTGACGTCATTTTGTTGGGTTATTTCGCGGGTTYCCGGTCCGCTCTGTAGACGCACACGTACTTCGATCAGAAATAACATCTAAAATGGACTCAGAAAACGAAACAAATGCAAGCGAATCAGCGTGTGAATACACCTCAGACACAGATGGAAGTATTAATAAHTCGGGAGACGAGAGCGACTCAGAAGCGTCGGCAGAAATTGTGATCGAAGGCCAATTCATTCCTTACGCCAATGAACCTCTAGCACCACCAGACTACGAAAGCGATTCGGAAGACAACCCTGAAGACCCTGATGGGTTGCATCCGCAAACTCTTGCCGACAGGGAAGATGRAGTTATATCGATTGAAACCTGGTAAGGAAATGTTTTCTAATGTACGATCGCCGAAAATCACATAATTGATTCAAAYTTGTCTTTAGGTGCAAATGTAAACACTGCAAGACCGAAAATCTAAGTGGCGCGCTCGAGCATCGTTGCTGTATGGAAGTTTTGAACATTCAAGGAAAGTTAGTCTTCGATGGAACTATAGAAACTCTACATTGCATAACACAGCATGACGATTATAAAGCCATAACTAACAAGGCTGTATTACAAAATGTTGCCCCCTTACTGAAGTGCAAAAATGGTCGATCGTACCGACGCCGACCCGGAGTTGCAGAAAATGAGTAAGTATTTATAGCTTGTATTTGTTCGTGCGAAAAGACGTCAAAACATGTGTTCATAGTCTAACAGCATTGTAAACACAATATTTACGTATGTTGTCAAACACTTGTTGATTGTTTGGACGGAGAATTTTTGAAAATTCTAATCTACGCTTCCGTGTTTGGTTGTCTTGGTTACSCATCAAAATTTACAACTTACAAGCTTGTATTTTTTTTTACATAGGTTTCTTTGTTCGGTAGCATATCGCTGGACAATAAGATGGCTTTGTGGATACTTAGGATGGGACAACACAAGACCTTTGGCTGCCTGTATTTACGAAGATATAAGAACAAGATACCAGACAAGACATCTTCAGCCAAGAGGATATAGGCAGTCGTAGACATTGGCACAACTACTTACATGTACTTCCTATCATGTCCTATACCTATTATCTATACTTCTCGGTTTTGCATTATTAATATAAATTTTTAGCTTGTTGACTTATTCATCAAAACTTTATTATATGAATGAACATATCATTCCTCTGTAAATAGTTTTTATTTATATTGTGATATTTATACATAATAAATGTATGTAATATTTATAGCTTGTATATAGTAAAAGTAAGTTGTTTCACACACAGCACAACACAATAAAAYATGTTAAAAAACAGCTTATCTTGCATTGATTTCTTTCAAAACTGATAAATTCTAATATACTTGAAAACGATACTGTTTGTAGCTATTTTCATCTCACGAAAAGACAAAAATTTGATTACATGTTGTTAATTAGTCACTGCAGATGAGATCTAACACTGTCATTTCCTATTGAACAGTCAGCATTTTGATAATGAAAATTAGCTGTTTATGCTAGCAGTACAAGTACGTTTGTTATGACCAGGCTGTTTGCATTTTCCACAAAGACGGTTATGGGTGTTTCCAGTACTTGTTCTGGATGTGAGGGCTTGTGCATCTGTGAGCATCTGCTGTTGCATTGYACCTTGTTCTGAAGCTGTTTGGAAAGAAGCAAAGTTTAATTTGTATGGTTCCAATCACCARAATGTACATTGAAGGCTGCATTCTGCTTCCCAATAGTTTTTTTACCCCTTTTTATGTATTATCATCACAATCATAATTACCAGGTGGAAAGAGAGGAGTACTACCCAACTTTTGGCGAGCTTCATAGTGTYTGACAGCATCATCTTTACACTTCCTCTCTGGAAACTGTCTATTCAGGGGTTCAGGTGTAATTCTCAAGTATTTGGATGACACAGCTTTCATATCTTCAAAGGATGTTGATAGAAGCACCTGGCAAATGCCATCTGCATATTCTGCAAAGAAAAAAAGGCATGATATATGTATACTAGACATTATCATGTTAACTTGCATTTTGTACTAGTCTGTCATTTGTAATATTGTCAGAACAAAATTACAGTATAATCAAATAATAGTACTACATAACTACTAAAATCACTGAACTGCTTACCATATGAGGGAGATACTGGGACCTCTTTGACAGCCTCTTCACCTAACTTAAACTTTGGAAAGGTAACTCTATAATACTTTTTCCCCTCAGATGTTTTTCTGGTAGTTCGTTGAACATTCTCGTTGAAATGCAAGCAGGCTAATGCATGTCTAAGAGCAGAGATTGATTTAAAGTGATTTACATATCTGTGTTGAAAACTCATTTGATTTGAAAAAATACTTTGCTTGTGAAGAAGCAATATACTCCTTCAGTATGTTTGAGACTTGATTCTGTTTTATAAATATAATAACACATGTAGTTTATCACTTGACAAATTTCTAGCTTTAATTTCATTACCTGCAAAATGAACCAAGCCATGAGAATCCAATCATCTTAGGATGCCAATGGTTTAGAGTTGCGTGAAATCCCTCCAAACTACTTGTCTGAGCATCTGGTGATAGCTTTCCAATATCGTTTACCAGGGTTTTGTTTAACATAAGATTTTTTAGCTTGTCATGTGCAGCCGTACCTTGAGATTAGGAAAGCAAAACATGTCAATGTAAATGTAATTGCAAAAAATGAAAAATAAAGAAAACTTTCCTTTGCATAGAGTGTTGTAAATTTAAATTTTCATTTGAAATGAAGTGTGCAAATATACCAACAAAACAATYATGATGATACTCAATGGTGTGGTGAATGTTACCACAAATGTATATCATTTTGTACAGTAAATAACACTGTTGATCTAACTTTGAAATGTACCTCTTTTTATCCAAAGTCTTTCTTCGAGGCCTTCATGATTGCATTTTGTATAAAGTTTGTCGGGGTKACCACTATGAATGTTGGCAACATGTCTMAGAAAMGATGACCACTTGGCCTTGATAAGAGCACTGAAACCAGGTTGTGTGGATKTAGCACACCAGTACATATGCCGTCTAATCCCCTTCATCCAGGTACTTATCCTTTCGCATCCGGCTTCCTTGCTGGCTTTCAGAAGCTTCTTCCACAGTGACCGGGCCACATGCCATATATCATAATAGTGGGTGCATTTGGTGTTCTCTCTAATCCACTTTGCAATTCCTCTATGGCGGTCAGAAATGAATGTAGTGACAGGTAACCCAGCATTTTCAAGAAATTTAAAGCTTCGCTTGGCTCCTTCTAGTTCAGTCTGTTGTGAACCATTGGTCTCGTTTGACTAATAAATAAAGACAACAAATTAATTAATGTTAGAAACAATTCAGTGTAAATTTTTATGTAAAGGAAATTATGCTTTAATATGAACTTTAGTTACAAAATCTACAAAGATTTTCAGAAATTATAACAAAAAGGCATTCCTGCTGCTTCCATGTACTGTACAATCATACAGTGTATCACAAATGTTATGTTGTTTCTGCAAAAAAATGACACTAAAAAAAATCATTTTATAAATACAGTACAAAATTTACCTGGAAATTTACCTCAAAATGAACAATTTTCATCAAGGTTGTTGACATCATACTGTAGACTCCATATTTTGCACAATGACCCATTGAATCGAATCTGCCATCTCCACACCAGATGRGCTCTTTTGTCTGTTTTGCAYGATCAATGAGGGAATTACGGTATGTCTCCCAGTACTTCAGAATTGATGGAAATATAAACAAACTCTGATGTCTGAAGAATGTTCTAGCGGAGTAAACACACAAACCCAAATGTTTGAATACCAGGATAATCTTGCTAATGGAAGCACCACTCAATAAGACAGCACAGCTCAACAACACATTTCCTGCTGGATATCTGCCAAACATATATGGTTGTGATTGCCACTTGAAGCCATGGACACATTTAGTAYACTCTTGATATACTGTAACCATAGTTCCATTTTTCTTCATGGACACTTTTGGATTTTCTTCTTTGCAGTTAAAACAGAACAGACTAAAAATACTCATCAGCATACTATAATAAACTATAAACTTTGGTTCTTTGTTTACAGGAGAGCCAGGATCTAACCTATGAAGGATAAAAAATACAATTKATAAAAATCGATAAATAAAAATATCAATCAGTACATGTATATTAGCAACTGCCCAGATTCCTTTTTTAACAAGATACTTACTTTATATCACTATTACTGGAATCATCAGTTATTTCATCTTCAGCTTCCTCACCACTTTCTGCACTTGCAGCCTCTCTTTCCCATTCTCCTTTTTCACTTTCACATTCACCATCTTCTGTTTCTTCTGCGGTCCAGACGTAATAGTCTGTGTTCTCTGTTTTTTCACTGTACTTGGAGGAAGGTTCAGGTCTGGCTATTTCATCATCACTGTCAGAATCCTCTGTTTCTGTATCATCAGTACAATGAAGCTTCTAAAAAATAAGGAAGTTTTATTCTACCAAAAACTGTTGTTACACTCATGAATAAAACAATACTATACTGAGAAAATTTCCAATTTAGTATACTATTACATACTCCAAAACAAATAACAAAACAGATAAATAATAACTGTACCTCTTTCAGTGCTTTCAGTTCAGCTTGTTGTTGGGATATTTGTAGCTTCAGTCTTCGGTTTGATCTCTTGGTGTTTATATACTTTGTATAGTAAGTGCTCAATTTCCTCTTTTTGACAACAGTATGTCCTGYAGTGGACATGTCAATATTCTCAACAACTGTACTGTCTTCAKCTGCATTGCTTTCTGWATGTMCTGYAGTGGACATGTCAATATTCTCAACAACTGTACTGTCTTCATCTGCATTGCTTTCTGTATGTACTGCAGTGGACATGTCAATATTCTCAACAACTGTATTGCCTTCAACTGCATTGCTTTCTGTGCAATCTTCTTCTGCTCTTTCTATTTTTCTTTTCTTGCTAGGTATGGGCACTGATCCAAAGTTTTCCACAAGGACAGATCTTCTAAGCTGAAAATATAAAGCTTTCACTAATGAGTACACTGTTATGAAATGCCTGTGCAATGTGAACTGTCTATGACACAAGCTTAGTATCATTATTATCATAGATTTTTAAATAGAAAACTTGATGAAAACACAGCAAAGATATCAATACCAATAAGCAATAAGATATCAACCATAAGCTTATGTAATTTTYGCGCGTTTACCTAGATTCAAAATGGCGGATGAATCAGTKTCAGACGTTTATTGCAATACTTTATGTARGAAATGTATAKTTTGTGTTTCCAAAGAGATCTGAATCATCGTCCAAAGAACTAGTAAATCTAGTAGTGAATATTAATGCTGACTTTAATAATAATATAAACTAAAAGCGCAAACAAATGAACATTATGTATACAGTACTCACATGTCTCTGATTTCGAGCTGTGTTTACGGACGTCGTAAAGCTGTTTTCCTTATCCGAGTCTATAGTAGGAACAGCACCTTTCAACAGCCGTCTTTGGCGTTTGACTCCTTCCATTCCTTCTAGATTCAGTAGCGGCGATGAAAAACATTCTTCTTTGAAATGTGCAGAGCACAACGATATGTTTTTCTTATCCGGAGGTGCCTTGAAATSTGCTCTATGTAAACGGACAAACTTTGTCCATTTTTCACGCAATCCTGGGTCGCTTGGAAATTGAAACATTGATATACCAGGAGTATAGCTGTTATTCTTGCAGCTTATCTTATTTTTACATCCTGCCACGCAATATCTGCCTTTATATTTTCGRATCTTCAGAGTGGAACTGTTCACTTCGGCCGCCATCTTTACAACTAACAGATCGCGACCCAACAAAATGACGTCATACGACGCGTTTGGCCGAGCGGAAAAAGAGGACAAATTTTGGGTGAAAAATCACAACTTTCAACGCTCATAACTTTGCGGCTTTTTATCAGATTTCGTTAAAATCCGAGATTTGAGGTTTTTGAATGGCGTTCTTTCAATGGACAAAAAATCATTTTCGTGTCATATGCTCTTTAAATGTCATATAATACGATGGAAATGAAACAAAGTTGATCACTTCAGTATTTCAGACGTTACACTCTTAAAAAGTGACCTAAAATTCGCGTGATACAGAGCGGTTAAGAGGTCAAAACCGGGGGTGTGTGTTCTCGATAACTAAAAATCCGTTGAAGCTCATATTTGGACATTCTTATTTTTATCTGAAGGCCATTAAATGGTATAAGTTTCAGTTGAATCGGCTGACCCCCATCTTTTGACCCTGCCCGGTTTTCTCAGACAATGACTCTTAAAACGTAAAGTGAAAGGATTAAAAAAATAACTTATAACTTATACAGTGCTCGTAATGTTTTTTCAAGAGTGCTCAAAGACCAACTTTCTTCAATTGTCCCTAATTGATGTCTACATCATATAACAAGTATTCCCACGCTAATTTAAGTTACGTATTAAAAAGCCTGGGAAAACATTATCCGCTCCCCAGTGCAAGCCAGATGAAATTTTGATACACCATTTCCTACCAAGCAAAAGCTCATGACAAAAGCTTAGTTTCCCAGCTAGGATGGAGATTAATAATAGTTTTCCAGCCAGTCTAAGCATGAATACGATTTCACAGACAGGAGTGATATGGCAAAGGTTAAACAGCTAGGATACGAAATTTACAAGGTTTTCAATATTTATTTGCATCTTTCTTCCTTTCATTCATTCTTTCAATTATTCATTCATTACTTTTTTGACTTACTTCCTTCCCGTTTATTTCATTTTTCCTTGCCCTATTTCCTTTCTCCCTTTCTCCCAAACTTTTTTTCCATCCAAAATCGCGGCATTCGCCTCTGTATCACACCCTTTATATTACTGTCGTGGGACGCATGGGTGGCCGAGCGGTGAGAGCGCTGGCCTGTCACCTCTGTGGACCCTGTTCGAATCTCGGTCGGGGCGCCATATGTGATTTGAGTTTCTTTCGTTCTCTCCCTTGCGTCGAGGGTTTTTCCAGGTCTTTCCGGGTTTTCCTCCCTCAGTAAAAACRAACCATTTCTATCTGCTGTGCTCCGCGTTCAGTCGTTCGTTGCTATGTAAAGGAAGCGCCTAGCCGGCAGCACGCCTATGTGTAAGTGTCTGTAAAATGTGTCTGTAATATAGCACTTCGACTTGAGAGCGCGTCGAGCTGCGTCTTTCGCAATTCAGCACCCATGCTGCCATGAAGGACGATTAGCACCCAACACCTTTTCCTTTNCGAGCGGAAAAAGAGGACAAATTTTGGGTGAAAAATCACAACTTTCAACGCTCATAACTTTGCGGCTTTTTATCAGATTTCGTTAAAATCCGAGATTTGAGGTTTTTGAATGGCGTTCTTTCAATGGACAAAAAATCATTTTCGTGTCATATGCTCTTTAATGAAAGCTTTATAAGTCATATGCTAAATTTGTTTACACTGTATAATTACTTTAAATTTGTAAAGAACATTTCGAGCTTTAACAATTATTTTAAAGATTTTTAAACAAAAACTTATAATCTAAATTGCTATTCTGTGTTAAAAGATAATAGCTAAAAGATATAGCTATAAACGTTTTACTAAAAGTTGCATGAAAGCTTAATTCTTGTGTGGACTCCGAAGTGTAGGTATTATCTGGTGGAGTGGTTTCAGGTGGGATTTCTTCATCCTCTACAGACACTCTCTCTTCTTCATTGCAGTTATTCATTGGAATGGGGATATCGAGGATATCAGGTACAGGGTCACCCAAGTATGGAGTATGAATGCGTTTTGTGGTGCCATCTTCCTGGTCGATTCTGATGACATGCAGTGGTATGATTTTCCCTTCCTCTACACACATTCCAGCAGCTTGACAAGTATCTTTCTTCTTGGTAAAGTGTACTTGACCGGAAGTGGTGAAGTTTAGGGCCCTTAAATAACGGATCTGGTGACTTATAGATATCATAAAACTCAACTCCATTCCCTGATCTGTTCCACCATATACCCTCACCCTCTACTAAAAAATCACTGATGTGCTGAAGGTGAGCTTGCCACTCTGATGAATGCTTCTTGATGATTGAGATTGGGATGACTGTATTGCTTAAAGGAGGTAGAGATTTTGCAAGGTTACTGACTTGAGCTTGCTGACCTACTGAGTCATTTCCCTGTAGGCCAAGYTCCTTTTCAGCTTGGAGTCGTACAACAAGTTAGGAATTATGTGCCCAGGATGGTAATTGCTTGTTTGCTTGGTGATCCTTTTAATGCTGTTGAAAATYCTCTCTTGTCTTTCTGCATTCGATGATTGACCAGAGATGATTCTCAACATGTCACCTGCATGTGCACTAAGGTTATGGAAGTATACACCAAACATTTTTCTTGTTGTGAGCTTTTTGGGGTTATTTACAATGAAGTCATGGAGTAAGATGGAGTGATACCAAGCCTGGTTGTAGTATCTAAGAATTTGTGAAGGAGTACGGGAGTTGTCGTCAGCATATAATATTCTCTGCATCTCAACAAGAGTGTCAATGACATCCAACACCTTTTTCGACACTTTTCCTGATTGGTGGGCAACAGCAACAGTTTTGATTAGAGCCATTCTGTAATCAACACATCGTTTGCTTTCTTTACMAGCTWAACATAATGAGATGGATTCTTCGATGATTTTAGATTCTTCAGGGGGTAAATGATTAGGGAGTTCTGTGAAGACATTCTCAATGTGGTGCCCAACATCATGTAGTGGTTCACAAGGCAAGATTTCATAATTTTCAAGACCAAAATCAGAAAGTGAAGCTTCAGGATTAGTTATTAGCAGTGCAGGGACACGTTGTTTTCCCTGTAGACTTTCAACTAGCAGCTGTTTTAATTCATCTTTGGTTTTCCCAGAATAAATCTGTCTTGATGCCAGCTCTTGTTCAAGTTCTCCCTTTGATAGGCCATTGAAAGGCTTGCTTTTTTTCTGACGTGAGTTTCTTCTTCCCACAGGTCCCTGTAGAATTGCTTTTTGTCTCTTATCAAGGCTGGTGAATTCACAATTCAAGGCATGGTCAAGGCAGTAAACCATGTCACAATGAATGCCACAGGAACAACAAAAGTAGTTCCCCCCCTTTTGTTGGCCAGCTTCAAATGCACGCAGTGGGCTATCCCCATGACAAAATCTCATCTTGTCAGTATACTCAATGTGACTAATTTGCTCAGTACATTTATGCTTTAGGTCTACAACGCATTTCAGTCTCTCCTCACAATACAGTAGCTGTTCACTGTCTGAGCTTCCACATTTAGCTATAAAATGAATTTCTGGTTCTTCAATTATCTTCTGTATGTTAACATTTTTGCCAAATGCTTGTTTGAATTCATCATCTGTGTAGTAAACAGCAGGGTCATATAGGCAAGTTACTAAACACACCAAATATCCGGAATTGGCCACAGTAGAGTTGTCTAACCAGATCATTAGATGCCYTGTCCTTTCAACCTCTTTCAGCCTTGCTCTCATTTGTTGACTGTCATTAACATCAATGCCATCAGTTTCATTTAACCTCTCAAGTTCAGCCAAAAGCTGCTCATCACTCATTTCTGCAATGCATTCATCACTTGTAGCTCTAAGATATTGTTTTTGCTTTACTAAATGTCTCTCCCTTATCTCTTTTAGGGCTACCAGTCTGCCTTCAGTATGGAATTGGATCTTTTGGATCTGTAAATCCTTGGTGAGTACCAGTTTTTCATACTAAAAAAGAAAAACCATATTAGAGTTCATGTCATAGAAGTTTTTTAAAAAAATAAGTAGTATCACATGTTCAACACAATTAACAACTAATAATACATGTATGCACATGCTTTAAAGTTTACCTGGCGAGGCACAATCATATCTCCAATAGTGTACTCCTTGGAAGTTATCTTTTCTTTTAGCATTTGTCTAAGCTGATGTTGATCCACGTCAACAGGAATACTTACTTCACCACCTTGTGTTTTTCTTTTTTTCCAAGGAAACTATTCTTATTTAGTGTACGGCTGACCAGCTATAGGTGAACCTGAGCGTCAACGGTAAAGTGCTACAACAAAAAGGCGCTTGAAAACGGGCAAAGTAAAATGAGAATAATGATTCAATGCAGTTTTTAGATTCTTCCTTTATTAGACTATACTACTACAACTGGAAATCGTTKAAACATTCACTACATCTAACAACAAAAGCATACTTGATTCGATTATATCATCATTCACGAATCATTAATTTTTTTGTTCCATCAAATTACTTTGAATTCACGTTTTCCAGTTGGAGTGTTGTGGTTTGATATCTCAACTATATTTCTCTTAAATCTCATTTAGATTCAGCTACAATGAACCCGTTTTCAAAGCTCAGTTTTGAGACACATATGTTTCTCCCATCTGTGGTCACGTGAGTGTTTCCATGGAGACATCAATTTTTCGGACAAACACCAGTGTGACATTGAATATCATGTACAAGTATCTTCTCAATAGGTTGAATACACATCGAGTTATAATATATTGTCTTATTTTTTGCCTATTTTTTACTGAGAGCCATGCCTTAACACAGCTGAGAGGTCGTTTCCCCTTTCTTCCGCTTCCTGACACACTACAGTTTTCAAGGTTTTGTTTGTCAGGGTACAGGACCCCGCTTAGCGGCGTACGCCAAAGTTGTCTTACTTCAAGTTTATTCAGGGCCTCCTTTTTTTCCTTTGACATAGTCAGTTGACAATCTATGAAAATAAATGAATGAATAAAGANGTAATGCCCAGATAGGGTTGGTGATCAACAGCTGTTAGTGTTTGACCAAGCATGGTGTAATTATGTATAACAGGATTCTTGATCCTGTAAATCCGGA